CTCTCTGCTTGATTGATGCCAACTTGGTTCCAGTGATGGGGGAGCAGGGACGCGAACAGAGATAACTAGACCGAGCTGCAGGTGAGGAAGTAACAAAAAGGAGAGATTCTGATCAAATACAAGGCAAAGCCCGGTAGCAGGAAGGTCTGACTGATGGAATCTGGAGACTCTCGGAATTCTGTTCTGAAGTCCTTCGTTCGTACCGCATGGCCACCGAGAGAGTAATTATCTGCCTCATTGATAGGGTATTAAGCTTGAACAGGGGAAGTGGTTGCTGGGTTCAGATTATGGAGAAATTTTACGTTTAAATCGATAAAAGTTTGAAGAAGCTGAGTGACTTCATGGATCCAGAAGAGAGGAGACTGTATGGAAGGACAGAACCTTAAGTGACCTTGGCAACCAAGCTCCAGGCCACCTCTGACTTGTGCGAATTAACTCTAGGAGGGGGGTTTGAATTGTTTGACTGGTTGAGTTATGGCTGATGCAACAAAATCAGAACAGGACTAAATTGTGTGTGTGTGTGTGTGTGTGTGTTTTATTATTAATTTCATGAACATCTACAGAGATTTTGAATTCCATTCATTTTTGCACTTTTCTCCCCACACACTCACCCCCACCCCCACCCCCAGTTTGCTCAGATTTTTAAAATCCAGGAGAATCAGAACCAGAACTGGAACAGGAGACATGATGGCCCTGAAGTGAGAGGCTGAGAAGAGGCATATCAGCCCCTTCTGGAGCCTGATGCAGGAGAGGGTGTGACACACATTCAGAGCGGTGTGGTTGCCTATCACCATGGAGCAGGGCACTGTTTATCCTGACTCTGACAATCAAGAGATTTGGTTGCTCTGCAGCATGCATGGTTAAACTGTAATTTTTTTTTACCTTGTAGTTTTCATTCTGGTTTGCCTACATTTTACAAATTTGGGTTCTTTCCAGTTTTGCTTTGCCAGTCATGAAAGCAATTGGGAAGCATTGGTTTGAAGCCTTGCACCAGGGTACAAAACCTCCCAGTTTTCATTTCTGGGCCTACACTTCCTCAGCACACCTCTGAGTATTTCTCCAGAGCTTCCTGTTTGCTAGTGACAGCAAGGGGCCACCTGTCTCACCCAGAGTTATCTGGTCAAGGTAAGGATGAGAGTTGGGAGTTGACTGTGCTCCCTCACAACCACTCAGATCTTCTATTAACCCTCAGAGGCTACCATGGGCTTCAGTACTCACATTGGACCCCAAGGCCAGTGGAAGAGTGACCTTCTATTCAAGCCAACTGACAAGGTTAAGGCAACCTAGAAGGGATATGGGCCAAGATTTCCACCCCCCCCCCCTTTCCAAAAAGACTTAATAAGTAATGACTTCAGGGCATGATGTTCCAGAGAAAATTGAAGACAGGAACAAACTCCTTCTTGGTTGGGAAGATGTCGATGCTGTAAACAGAGGAGTGAATGTTCCTGGAGGGCAGGGACTAAGTCAACACCAGGTGGGAAACTGTCCAGCATGGAAAATGTTTCTCCTGCAAAACAGAGCTTTCAGAGCATCTGCTATTTGTTCCACCACCTGTCTAAAAGGGCAAAGATTCAAATCATCAGGAGGCAAGGGTGTCTTATTCATCCTGAAGAGTGGGTTCTTTCCATATTGAAATAATTGTGGAACTAGAACATGTTGTGTGGGGACAATACTATCATACAAACTTTTTGTGTATGTGTGAATCAACATAAAACACAAAACCCAACACACACAAAACCATGCTTTCCAAGTTGAGGGTTCAGGAACTTTCCTTTACAGTAGAAGAAACACGTTTATGTAGCATACCCTAAGAAATTGCAGTTCAATTCCAAAAGGAAAGTTGCCTACAGAGCTGTGTTGGCTGGTTACCGTAGCCAGTTTCCAACACTCTTTGCCTTGATGCTCTTGAGGGGCTGACCTTGTGTTCTGTGTCCCCTGGGATCCCTTGCCTGCAGCTTCTGGTTGAGTTTGGTCAATGGGATAACCAATAGGAGATGGGAGAGTGAGAAGAGAGGTATTTCTTACTTTCTTCTAGGACTGGCAATGGCTGTGAGCTCCCCGGCACAACTCTCAACAGGAGAATTCCTGCTACCCTCCAACTTTCCCATAGATGATGAACTTGGTGAGCTCCTTTAACACATTTTTGCACTTTTGTTCTTCCAGGTCTAAGAGTGGTAACAACTTCCCAGGATTGCTAGCCTTTGAGAATCTCACCTCTGTGACTAAAAACAAATCAAATTCATTGTTGTCTAGTTATGACTCATCACAGCCTTATAGGATGGAGTAAATCTGGCCGACGTGGTTTATGAGGCTGTAATCTTCAAGGAGGGGAGCGCTGGTGGCTTAGTGTTGAGGAATTGTCCTGCCAACTCAAAGGTACATGGGTCAAATCCATCAGCTGCTCTGTAGGAGAAAGAAGGGCAAACTCAATCTCATCCCATGCAATTTACTGCCTCTGAAAACCTGATGGAGGGTCGGTTATGGGTCGGTTCTGACTCAAAGACACATAACAAAAGCAACAACAACTATCTTTAAAGAAGGAGATAGCCACATCTTTCTCTTTCCTGTGTCTGGTGGGTTCAAACTGTCAAATGCTTCACCACTTCACCACCAGGATTCCTTCCTCTGTAAATAGTCCCTTCAATGTGGCCCCTTCATTTGAACTATCCTTAAGGATTTGCTTTCCTATAAGACCCAGAAAAGTATAGACCCTACAGACTGACTTCCTGGTCTTCACAAGTTTGTTAAGGGAAGTAAATATCACCCTCAGCAGCATTACTATTTGCTCTCAACTCTTTAGCTTTTCCCTTTGGGGAGGTCATCTCTGTGTCTGAAAGATGGCAAGGGAAAGGAGCGGCAGTGAGCCAGTTCAAAGGGGGTGATGTTGCAGGAAGCATTTGAAGGCTTACAATAGACAGTCAAAACAGGGAGTGAGTGACAGGGCAATGGGAATAGGCAGGGGTGAAAGATGGGAGCAGGGGACTGGGAAGGGATACAGAGTGTCAGAAAGCAATAGTAACAGAGACTGAGACACGCTTCCAGATCTGACCTGCCCAGTTCTGGGAAATGTCATTCAGCAAATAGGTTCTAGCTGGCGGTTCTTCAGGGTATGCTTCTATGGGAGAGATATTACCACAGTTCTGCCGTTACGGTAACAGTCTGGATCCTCTCACTGGGTGAACTATTTGAGCTCAGCACAGGAGATACATGTCCTGATATGTTGGGTTTTGTTTAATCCTTCGGTTTGCCCAGTCCTACTTACCTTCTTTCTTCTGTAAGCCCTATTCATAAATAACTACCAAAATTCATCATAGCCCCCATCTCCTAAGAACCCAGTACAGCAATTCCTTAACACTAGGGTACCACAAGTGAGTGGCTTTCAGTAACTGGTTTACATTCTGATGGTGTCCAAGGCTCCATTCTTTCTGTGGCCCTCTTAGTTTTTTTGAGGTCTACCAGGAAGCTTTGTTATAGGCAGGTCTTTACTTCCTTGCATGACATTGGTGGTGTTTTTTTTTGTGTGTGTGTGTACCATCAAATCGGATCTGACTGTACAGGAGAAGGTTGTCCCTCCTTCTCCAGCAGAGCATCTGGTGGATTTGAACTGCTCACCTCTGAGATTGCAGTACAGCTTCTTGTCACTAGGCCACCAGAGCTCGCCAAGCTTGGTATTTTTAAAAGATATTACTCAGAAATGATTAGTTGTAGGACCACTTTAGTTTCATATAAACTAGTAACAGCACAAAAGAAAAATTTCCCTTTCAAAACACATGTAAGTACAGGAATTAGGACCTCAATATAAGTTTTACATATGCACAATCAGCTTCTTTACCCCCATAATACAAATTTGACAATGAAATTAGAAGAATGTACAAGATGAATATAAAAATCTCTACATTGTAATGACTGGATTTTGTGTGGAGCAAGGAGCTCTGAGGATTTCATGATCTGGCAGCATGGGTATTCCCAGAAGACAGCAGAGTAGTTACGAATTGGGTACTTATGACTAGACTTCACCAGGAGGATTCAAGATCAAAACTTTTCATTAACTGCTAGGACGAGCTTTGTTTAGTCACACTATGTAGCTTTGTTTAGTTATACTCTGGACAAATAAAGGATTTTTTGAGGCTGAGTTTTGTTAGGAGCTAAAATAGGCCCAACAGAAGATGAGAGTTATGAAGCATTTCTTCGATTTATGGAGGAAGCTGAAAATGTTAGGCGGGAAATACAAGTTTGGTTCAAAGTTGAGTTTGGAAAGGGAGAATTCTCACACCCTTGGAAGGAAGATGGCTTTGGAGCAGTACCTGTTAAGAACCAAGCAGCCTTTGAGAGAAGCAACCAGATAAATGTCCGCTGGAATGATCTGAGAAATGAACATTCTTTTCTATTGAACTCTTAGAATATGACTCCAAGGTATATTATTGACTAAATGTTTTTCTGTCCCAACATCCTGGTACCGTCAACTCACTGATGCTCAGTTTCATTTCTAATTCAGTGCTCTCTAGAGATTTCCCTCTGTCTTGCTGTCACCTAGTCTCATGTCTCTCCTACCTTCAAGATTGAAAACTTATCTAGCCCTGTACCACTCTTTCTGCTTACCTCTATCTGGTGCTTCTCCATGAACTAAGTTCATGCCAATTCTTTAAGTGTGAGTCTCAATTCCATCTATGTCACACTGGGATTTTTGCTGTTTTCCTAGCCATGTTTCAGGTTAATGGTTCTTGTTTTATTTTCCCCATGTCTGCCTGGCTCACGAGTCCAGCTTTCCCACCAAAAGAGCAAGGTAAACTTTTCAGTTTTAAAAATTTTTATTGAGATGTGGGGAGAAACAGCCAACATATACATTCATTTCATCACAACTGGCATTTTACCCACAAATGAAAGGCTTTTCTCTGGCTTTGATCTAACTCCAAGTCTTGATGGTCCCCCCTTTTTTTCCTGTCTTCTCATTGCTGCCTGGCGGTGTTGGATGTCCACCAGGGCAAAGTTCACTGGTGCAATTACAAGTGTGAGCGGTGACTACGAGTGGCTGTGGAAAAGGACAGATTTGCAACAGGACCACTGGTTAGAACATCTGCATTTAACACTCTTCTTGCCCAGATGGCTTTGAAACAAGAGGAGAGAATCTCAGGATGAGATCTCTGGGCCATAGGAAAACTAAACCCAGCAAGAAATCTCCCTGGAGGAAACACAGCACTCCTTTCAAGCCTGTTCCCCAATTGAGCCCTCACTCACCATCATCACCCCGTTTTCTACTCTTGAAGCTGCCTTTTCGGTATCTTCTTTTGCCCCTACCTCTCTTGACTCCTTTGTGGGGAGATCGGTTCTTGCCCCTCTTCATACCATGACTCTTTAATTTGCGGCTGGTCGACATTGTAATTTCTGCCAAATGGGGGGCTTTGCAAGATTGGAGGCCTGGAGACTGGGTATTTAAGGCCTCAGCCATTGTGATGGAGAGGAGGTGGGGCTCAGCAGCTGGGTGGGGCTCCACTGTGAGGCCACCAGTCTTTGCTCATATATATGAAATAAGGTGGTCACTTTGATATGGACCAAGATTGCTCTCCATGTTGAAGCCCTTTTTATTTCAAATTATTCCCTCCAGCCAAGTTGTTACTACCGACCAAATCCCAGCCCTGTGCCAGGTCTCTCAGGTGTGCAAAACTATAGGAGCCTACCTGTGGGAGGTTTAATAATCACTGAATGCATGTACACACACAATAGTCAAGTCTCTCAAATGGTGTTTAGAAATGCTAACAAAGTACTTCAGTTAAGACCTGTCTCCAGCAAACCCATTTCAATAGGATCAGAATAAAACATCCTGTCTTTCCCCATTTTGTCCCGCTTTTCCAAGGAAGACTTCAAATTTTCACTGTCTTTTGAAATGGGAATGTGTTCAAAGTTTATCACACTGTCACACAGCAGTCTCAAGGTCTAGGTCTAGACACCATAAATAGCTGCTATCTCTGAGTGAAATATCTGTCACAAAAAGACAAATACTGCATAGTGCCACTGTTGTAGAATGGGACTGGCATCAGGGTTGGGGTAAGACTGAGAAAAACTGGATAAATTATGTATATTGTATTGAAATAGATGAGGGAGAGAACAGTTTAAAAGTGATATATGATAGAGTATTATGGTTATCACAACAGTCCAGAATGAACTCAGGACAGAGGGGAGGGGGGATTGTATACCATTGAAGGAATTTTTCTTTTACTTTTCAAAGAGAAGAGCGAACTTGGGGGAGGGGTGGGCAGGGAGAAAAGTGTGACAATGAATGAATGGAAATCCAAAATCTCTGTAAATGTTCATTAAAATTAATAAAAAAAAATGTTGCTGTCTCATCAGTTCTCACTTGCAGTGACATTTCTCACTTGTGTGTCAAAGGAGAAGGGCTTTCTAGCCTTTTCAATGACTGTTGCCTTTTAGAATCAGACCACGAGGCTGTTGGTGTGGAGGGTCCCTGGGTGGCTTGGAACCAGCAACATTTTGGGGAGTAGCTCGTCTTTATCAACTCCATTGTGTTAACAGTCTGAAACACTTGTTCTGGTACCATGTGAGTGTGTGTGTGTGTGTGTACACATGTGCTTATTATGTGATCTTCCCAAACAGGAAGCTACTTTTCTTGGTTTTGGTTCTGAGTGCAAATACCACTTCCCCTGACTCTAGCTCCTTATTTCTGACACAAGCAGTCGGGGCAGGTGCTAGCTGAGATGGTCGACTTTTGAGGAAACTTCCTCGTAGTTTATAAACAGAATCTTCTTTTTTCTACTTCCTTCTCCACAGGTGCCAACACAACCTTTATATAGTAGGCAATCAGTGAGTAGTATTCGTCCATTCTAGCTGTTTTGGTATCGCAAGGACAGTCCAACACAATGGAAGTGACTTTGCATGTGAAGTGGGAGAGTTTCTAAGTGGAGAAGAAAGAAGACGACAGTGTGACGACTATGTGCAGAATAGTTCGTCAGAACAGTTCTTCTAGGGGCTCTGTTCTGCCCTCACATGCCTGACCAAAAAGCTTGCAGAGGAGCTGGCCTCTTTGGATTTTAAGAGGCATTTTTCTGGATGGTTCTGGAGATTTCTGTCCCTCAATCCTTCCCATCCCCCAAAGACTTGCTCTCCAGAGAGAAACTGAGACCAACAGGGAAGAAGGCAGCCAGACTAGGGAATTCAAGTCGAAGCAAACAGAAAAGTCCCCCTTGCGTGGGGTTAACGAGGAGGTCTGCTTCCAGACACATAAACTGAGAAACTTGAGTCGCAACAAACTCATGTGGGAGTGGAGGGGATCTGTAGGCCAGACAAGGGTGGGGCTGGAGTGGTGTTTGCATTGGCGATGGTATCAGGCCTCCTGGAGTGAGGACGGACTGGGTTGAGTGCTGCTCATGGCTGCCCGGCTCTGTTTATCTTTCCACTTCAGCCCCATTGTGACTTGGGCCAACTACGGTTTAGAAAAAGCACAGTGAGCTCACTCTTGACCCTTGTGGACCCAGAGCTCTACCCTCTGTCTCACTTTTCCTCTCGTTCTCTCTCTTTTAATGAAGCAACTGAGGCACAGAGAGGTTACGTTAACAAATAACCGGTCGCTGCCAAGTTGGTTCCCACTCACGTGTGTACTGTGTAAGGTCTTCAGAGTTGCGATCTTTCAGAAGCAGATTGACAGCCTTTCTTCCACAACGCCTCTGAGTCAAGGCTAATTGCCAATCTCCCAGTTAATAGCTGAAGAGTTAATTGTATCATCCAAAAACTTTATCTATTCCACATGGTTATGGTTATAGCGCACACGTGGCAGAATTGGTCCAATAATCGGTTAGCTTTCGTTTCTGTTGATAAAATAGTTGTTTTGTTTTCTTTAAAAAAGTAACACTTTTTCCTCTCTTAAGGTTGAGTATTTTCTTGTCTGGAGACAATGGGTGGATTTAATGGTGTGTTTATCCCCTAAAAGGATGGACAAATGGTGCTGCAGGAACGGCTTGGGTACCAGAAGGCCCACTCTGCCTCTTCCTTAGGTGACGGAGGAACAGACTGAGGGCGTTAATGTTTTGGAAGTCACAACTCTGTTTGGGTCCCATCTCACGTCCCCATCTCAAACTTACTCTATTAATTTTCCTGGGGAGTCCACTGAACGCCTTCACAGGGCTGGGTCTTCCCATAAGGCTGGGAATTGGAGCTCATTAAGAGGGAACATCGGAAAGTTGCTGACAGACCTTACACATGTCGATGACTCAGTCTCAATTCCTTTCTGAAACTCAAGTCTCTCCAGATGTTGACCTCAGCTGGGAAGGGGGAACTTTCTACTCTGTTCACATGCACGCCCTGTCTTCTCTACTGTTGTTGTTGGTTGGGCAAACCAAAGGGACTGGAGAAGGATGAAGCTACAGAGAGGGGGCCCTATCAAATGCAGAGCTCTCTAAGTTCAAGACCCATCTGGAGTCTACAGGAGGAAATAGAAACCAGACACCCAAGTCAAGAAGATGTTCTCAGAAAAGAGAGGCTTTGTCTTCATTTGCCCTCACACGTCCAGATCTTGAAAGCACAGAACTTTCTGGCTCTTCTTCCCTGCCTCATCCTTTATGACACTGTGAACAGTTCTGGGACAAAGAGATTAGGCAGCTCTCAGGTGGGGGCTGTATCACACAAACGGGTCTGTGGGAAGAGCCTCAGAGGTCCCCTTGCTTACAATGGTGAGAAGAGACCTTTGTTTAAAAAACTTCATCTGGACAGAGCTGGAGGGTAGGCCTTCTGATGCCGAGATCCAACTTTTGCCCCTGCCCCTCACTGTTTCCTTGCTTGCTTTCAAAGTCTACTTAGTTTTTCAGGTCTATTTGACTTTCTCACCCATGTTATTAAGTTCTTATGTATAATTTAATACAGATGGAATAGGGAAGTCTGGGAAGAGATAGAAAGTTCTGCTTAGAGAAAGGATGTAAATTAAATTATAAGATCTTTTGGGCAAATCCAAACATCTTAGGATATAAAAACATGAATTAAGGGTCCTATTCTCTATGTTCTGCAATCACATTATAGCAAGAAATACTTTTTATATTACTAGATACACTATTACTAACCTTACCTACATGAAGATCTTAATTAAAAAGGTTATGTTCCGTTTGGACATCTGAAAAAATACTTTTCTTTGCATCTCAAGTCACCACTTAGAGTAAGGCCATAATATAAAAAGAAAATTCAAATCTTATGTGCCAGAAGATTTCAAATAAAATTTTCACTGCAACCACCCCCTTCCATTCGTTGATCTTGTGTATCTGTTTGTGATATCATAAAGAGGTTGGCTTCCCTACTCAGAATTCTCTGGAAATGAAGCTTCTTTCAGCCACAAGACAAAAATGTGATTGGATGCTAGGATGTTAGCAAGGAGGTGGTATCAAAATATATCACATGCATTGAGTCATATGGACTTTGTTGTTGTTGTTATGTGCCATCAAGTCGCTTACGACTCTTTGTGACCCTATGTACAACAACCCTAAGCCCCACTCTATTCTGTGCCAATCTTATTGTCTCTAACACACCTACTCCCATTAGCCCAGTCACTGAATCAATCCATTTCATCAAGGGTCTTCCTCTCCTACACTGTCCCTCCAACTTCCCAAGCATGGCATCCCTCTCCAAGGACTGATCCCTCCTTGCAACATGTCCAAAGTATGTCAGACGAAGCTTCAGAATCCTTGCCTCCAAGGAGCAGCCTGGTTTCAGCCTCTCTAGGACAAACTTGTTTAGGAATTGTATCTTAGACAGTCTAACAACTGGAGAAAGAAATTTGAGCTGGGCTATTAAAGAACAATTTCAACTCCTTTCTAATAAAGGGCCCAGGCAGAATTGTATCACAAACCTAATTTTAGTGCATACTTCTTACTACTGTGAAGGCATGATATATGACAATGGAAATTTGTCTTTTTTGTTCTACTCTTTTCTTTGCTTTTCTTTTCTCCAGACGGACTTAAATTCATTCCTCCTGCCAAGACCATCAGGTCAGTGTGAAAGAACATAGACCTATGGAAGGGGGCAAAATATCACTGAGGGAAGATAAGGACAAGAGACACACACACTGAGGTGCCAGACATGGTCAATGCCTGCATCACTGATGATTTCAGTGCATTGTGACTGGCACACTGTGACAGCACAGCAGACAGAGGAGACTTAATATTTCTTACCATTTATTTTATCCACATTGATTTCTATTAAAATTCTTCTGATCAAGGTTGGATCAAGAGAGAACATCAAAATCTAATCTTTACTTCTTGAATCTCTATGACTTGATGTTGCTTGTCTTGGTGATTGCAATTGAGAATGGAGAGAGATAGGGGCGTTATCCCATAATAATGTTGATTGCAATTGAGAATGGAGAGAGATAGGGGCGTTATC